TGCGGGTGGTGCAGGTGGTGGTGGAGGCTGTGGGCAGTGGGTGAGGAGGGGGGCAACCAGGCAGGCTGGTGGCTGGGGGGTGAGGAGGCCCAGAAGGGGCTGAAGCTCCCGGGGGGGGAGCAGGCCATGGAGGTGATGGGGCTGTTGCTGCTCTGCAGGCTCTCGGAGGTCCGCAGCTTGGAGAACATGGCCAGAGCGTCCGGGAAGTTGGGTGGCGTGGCTGGTGTGTTGCTGGGGGTGCACATCTGCAGGGGAAAGGAGAGGGAGGGCATCAGATGGCGCACAGCTACTTTTGGAGTCCCAACCTGCCCGCAGGAGCCAGACACATCACTGGGGATCCTGTTTTTATCCCACACCTAGGATGCCCCTGGCTCCAGGGGACGCTTGGAGCCCAGGTCTGACTGGTACTGGGGGTCCCCAGCGCTGCTGTGCAGCCCTCAAGGGTCTGGGTGGCTCCCCCACAAAGGTGTGGGGGCTGCCTGGGGAGTCTCCACCCAGTCTGGGTGCTCAAAGCCCCGGGGAGAGGCAGGTTTGGGGAGGGGGACACTGCTCTGATGCCAGCTGCCCCATGGAGGGGAGCAGCAGGGACAGGGCTGATGCAATGGGGTCCAGCATGATGGGTGGGGAGGGTGTTGGGGTCCCACAGGACCCCCCCTTCACCCAGTTCCCTGACACCCTCCCTCCCCTGCGCATCCTGGCAGGGCAGAGAGCGGAATGCAGGCAGGGCACCCCTCAGGATGCAAGGCAGCGGCCGGGCCCCGTGTGGTTCCCCATACGGCCCCTGCCTTCTGCGTACCCAGCTAAATTTAGCACCTTCCCCCCCCCGCCCCAGCCAGTGCCGGATCCAGCCCTTTTTGCAGCCGATCTCACTGGCAGAAGAAAATCTGGTGAGGGGGGGACCTGGTCCTGTGCTGGGGCCCAGGGGCTGGCAGTGCTCAGGGCCTCAATTCAGCAAAGCAGTTGCTACACTCTGAGTATGGGGGGGTGCTAAAGCCCCCCAGAGGGGATATGCAGGGCAGAGGAAGCTTCACACCAGCAATGCAAAATTGGGTAGGTGCCTGCCCTAATGACCCCCCCTTTTTTATCTCCAGTGTGGAGGTCGCTGTGTCACAGGCTGCTCTGAACACACGTTGGGGGGTGGTTAGAAACAGCAGCACTTTGTCCAGCCCAGACCCTTGTGGGGGGCAACGGTCTGGGGGAGCACTTCCCCCCACACTGGACCCACAGAGCAAAATCCCCCTGAGGCTGCACGGGGAACACACGTGGGGGTACGTGTATGGGGCACACATGTGGGCAGGGGGGTGTGCTGGGAGGGGACACGTGGACACAGAGGGGGTGTGTGCATGGGGAGGGGTTCACCCCACTGGGTTAAATCCATCCCACATGCTCATGGAGCCCCGGGCACAGCCAAGCAGCACGTCTCGCTCTTGTGCTGCTTGTGGGGATGTCGAGCAGTGCCGAGGGGTCAGGGCAGCATCTGCAGCCTCCAGCTTTTGCTCCTTTAGCAACAGCAAATTGGGTAGACGCTTCTGATGGGGAATAGCTGCTGTATCTCCCCCTTCCTGGGATTTGCCCTGGCTGGCACTCGGCAGCCCCAGCTGCTCCCCAGCACATACAAGCACCGAGTCCCTCTTACTGATTCCCCCTCAGCCCCATCCCGGCCACCCTTGGTGATCACCAGGGTCAGAGGAGCAGCCGGGAATGCTGCAATGTGCTCCCCACTCCCCCCTCAAAGATGGGGTGCCCTCCCTGCCTTGGGGAAGCAGCAGCCGGCAGACCTGTGCTGGCAGAGGGATGGATGAGCTCCCACCAGCGTGCAGAGCTGGTGCACCCCAAAAATGTAATCACGGCCAGGCTGGCACCCAACGGGCTCGTGGAGAGCTGGGGTGTTTCTTCCTGACCACACACAGGCTTTGGGAGAGCTCATTTCAGAGCTCACCTCAACACAGTAGCAAGACAGCTTCCTTTTAAAAATCACCTATAAATTTGGCAGTATCTGAAAAGATACTTGTTGAAAAAAAAAAAAACAAAAAAAAACACCCCAAAAAAGAGAAAAAACAACTTTCAAGTGACTGTGTTTTGAAAAAATAAACACCACAGCCACACACGTGCCAACCACCAGCCCTGGCCTGAGGTTGGACACAATGCTGGAGGGGGGACACAGCTCTGAGCTTCTGGGGTGGTGTTTGCCAGATTAATTAAAAACATTAATTAAAAAAAAAAAAAAAAAGAATTGCCATGTAATTATTGCCTTCCCCCTCCAACACTTTCTGTTAAGGAGCTGCTCCACTGTAAGTGTCAGTCCCACCATGAGCTGCCATGCCGACACTCCACAGTCCTTTCCACACAGCCCAGACCCGTGGGGGCTTTGCCAGGCGTGGGGGACACGGAGGTGACGTTGCACCCCGCACCGTAACACTGCTGCACTCACAGCTTTGTTCTCTGCTGCTTGAAAAAGAAATAGAAACCGCAAGCATAAAGGCCCTGGTCTCACCCCCTGCCCCGAGCCGTGCAGGGCATTTTCAGCTGCAGAAATCAGGATGCTGGGCAGGGTGGGTGATAGCAGCAAAAAAATGCCAAAAAATGCGAGGTGGGAGTATTTGGGGAGAGGGTGAAAGGTGTTTTGTCACCACGTGGAACACACAGTGTTGAGAAAACAACGTGGGGAAGGGGAGAGCCGCCCAGCTCTGGGCTGGATGGGGGTGATGGGGGGGTGGGTCCCGCTCGGGCCCCCGGGAGCGCGGGGACAGGTTTCATCAGAGCTGCTTTGCATCCCGCTTCCAGCAGCCGCCCGGCAGGAATTACCCTGACAAGGCTTTTGGTGTGAAAATACAGCGAGGCCCAGATCCGGCCAGCAGCTCCCACCAGCTCTGCCGTCCCCTCTCTCACCAGGAAAGAGGGTTTTCCAAGAGGTGACCCTTCGCAAGCTGCCTGAGGCAGCAAGGAAACGTCCAGGGGGAGGAGGAATTAAAATAAAAGGGGTTTAAAGTGGGAGCCAACCGGCAAAATTACTTTCTCTGAGAGCTGCCGGCAATGCCGGGCTGGCTGGTGATTTCCTGACGGCAGGAGAAAAAAAATCGGCTTAGCCCAGACCCACTCCTTCCCCCGCGTGCAGCACCGTTTAGTTCCCTCAACAGGAAAAAAAAAAAAAAAGATGAAAAAACCCCAACAAAACAAAAAACCACAACAAAAACCACCCGGGGAGGGAATAACTTCCTCCCCTTGGCCAAGGGGACGTGTCCTCGGCCAAGGTCAAGTGGCGTTTGGGGAAAGGGGGGGGCCTGCAGTGGCCCCCCAGCCCGGAGAGCCCAACTTCCAGCGCGATGCTTGCGGAGACAAACTATTTCCTGGCAGACATTTTAGCTCGTGTTTACATTCGCCGGCTGCGTGTTCCTCCGGGCGCAGAGCAATATGGCTGGCAGGGGAGCTGACAGCTCCGCGGCCCGGGGGGCCTGGGGGGTCCGGG